CAAATTTTTGGAGGGAATGAACAGATAATTTTGATTAACGATTGTACCATAAACTTAAAACGTTTGCAAGATATCAGAGGAATTGGTTTCGCAGTCTCTAAGTTAAATTGTAAAGTTATACATTTTTTGACTATTTTCCAAAAATGTGGATGTCTCATATAAAAAAAGAATGGCACAACAATCAGTCCAAAAGTTTTGATTTTCTAATACAACACCGGAATTTTTGGTCAGAAAGTTTCTAAAATTTTAAACGAGATTCACTTAGAAAGTAACACAATTTAAGCAGCATTGTGATTTTGAAAACCTTAAAAGGTACTACGTAAATTAATTTAGAAAAAAATGCGTCATTTTAAGATCAACAATAATTCATAATGAAAGCCTAAACAATTTGAATCGTTTTGTAAAAATAAAAACAATATCAAAAAATTGCTAAAATCTAAAAGTACAATCATGCACTTTTTTCGTCTTAAAGATCTTTATTTTTTAGTTTTTTGGTAAACAGAGAAAATAATTATTAAAAATTTCAAGCAATATTTTTTCGGATTTGGGATTAAAAATATCCACATAGATATTTTTAAATGCCTTATCTAGTAATTCAAAATCTTTGGAAAATGTGGTAACCAGTTTTTGTTGATTTTAGCAATAAAATAAATTGCTCTATAAATAATTCTAAAAAATAATGCTGATAAACCACGCACATTTTAGAGAGAATTTATCCAGCAAAATTTTAAGATGACGTCATCAAGTTTTTGGAGGGAATGAACAGATAATTTTGATTAACGATTGTACCATAAACTTAAAACGTTTGCAAGATATCAGAGGACTTGGTTTCGCAGTCTCTAAGTTAAATTGTAAAGTTATACATTTTTTGACTATTTTCCAAAAATGTGGATGTCTCATATAAAAAAAGAATGGCACAACAATCAGTCCAAAAGTTTTGATTTTCTAATACAACACGGGAATTTTTGGTCACAAAGTTTCTAAAATTTTAAACGAGATTCACTTAAAAAGTAAGTCAATTTAAGCTGCATTGTGATTTTGAAAACCTTAAAAGGTACTACGTAAATTAACTTAGAAAAAAAATGCGTCATTTTAAAATCAACAATAAATCATAATGAAAGCCTAGACAATTTGTAGCGTTTTGTAAAAATTAAAAAAATGGTTTTTGAAAACAATGTCGAATAATTGCTCAATTTTGAAGTACAATCATCAACTTTTTTGGTTTTAAAGACCTTTATTTTTTAATTTTATGGTGAGTAAAGAAAATAATTATTAAAAATTTCAAGCAATATTTTTTCGGATTTGAGATTAAAAATATCCACATAGATATTTTTAAATGCCTTATCTAGTTATTCACAATCTCTGGAAAATGTGGTAACCAGTTTTTGATTTTAGCAATAAAATAAATTGCTCTATAAATAATTCTAAAAAATAATGCTGATAAACCACACACATTTTAGATAGAATTTATCCAGCAAAATTTTAACATGAAGTCATCAAGTTTTTGGAGGGAATGAACAGATAATTTTGATTAACGATTTTACCATAAACTTAAAACGTTTGCAAGATATCAGAGGACTTGGTTTCGCAGTCTCTAAGTTAAATTGTGAAGTTATACATTTTTTGACTATTTTCCAAAAATGTGGATGTCTCATATAAAAAAAGAATGGCACAACAATCAGTCCAAAAGTTTTGATTTTCTAATACAACACCGGAATTTTTGGTCAGAAAGTTTCTAAAATTTTAAACGAGATTCAATTAGAAAGTAACACAATTTAAGCAGCATTGTGATTTTGAAAACCTTAAAAGGTACTACGTAAATTAATTTAGAACAAAATTGCGCCATTTTAAGATCAACAATAAATCATAATGGAAGCCTAGACAATTTGTAGCGTTTTGTAAAAATAAAAAAAAATGGTTTTGAAAACAATATCGAATAATTGCTCAATTTTGAAGTACAATCATCAACTTTTTTGGTTTTAAAGACCTTTATTTTTTTATTTTATGGTAAGTAAAGAAAATAATTATTAAAAATTTCAAGCAATATTTTTTCGGATTTGGGATTAAAAATATCCACATAGATATTTTTAAATGCCTTATCTAGGGCCGGTTGCATAAACGCAAATCAAATTTAATCTCTGATTAACTCCATAGTAACGATTGTTATTATCATAGTTACAATTGTTCTTAATCAGAGATTAAATTTGATTTGCGTTTATGCAACCGGCCCCTAGTAATTCAAAATCTTTGGAAAATGTGGCAACCAGTTTTTGATTTTAGCAATAAAATAAATTGCTCTATAAATAATTCTAAAAAATAATGCTGATAAACCACACACATTTTAGATAGAATTTATCCAGCAAAATTTTAAGATGACGTCATCAAGTTTTTGGAGGGAATGAACAGATAATTTTGATTAACGATTGTACCATAAACTTAAAACGTTTGCAAGATATCAGAGGACTTGGTTTCGCAGTCTCTAAGTTAAATTGTAAAGTTATACATTTTTTGACTATTTTCCAGAAATGTGGATGTCTCATATAAAAAAAGAATGGCACAACAATCAGTCCAAAAGTTTTGATTTTCTAATACAACACCGGAATTTTTGGCCAGAAAGTTTCTAAAATTTTAAACGAGATTCACTTAGAAAGTAAGTCAATTTAAGCTGCAGTGTGATTTTGAAAACCTTAAAAGGTACTACGTAAATTAATTTAGAAAAAAAAGCGTCATTTTAAGATCAACAATAGTTCATAATGAAAGCCTAAACAATTTGAATCGTTTTGTAAAAATAAAAAAAAAATGGTTTTTGAAAACAATATCAAAAAATTGCTGAAATCTAAAAGTACAATCATGCACTTTTTCGTCTTAAAAATCTTCATTTTTTAGTTTTTTGGTAAACAGAGAAAATAATTATTAAAAATTTCAAGCAATATTTTTTCGGATTTGGGATTAAAAATATCCACAGTTGGATATTTTTAAATACCTTACTTTGCATTCTAAAAAATCATGTTGATAAACGGCACACATTTTAGATGATGTCATAAGTTTTTCGACGGGATGAATAAATTATTTTGATTAACTATTTACTGTGATTATGATAACCTTAAAACGTTTGAAAAATATCAAAGCACTTGGTTTTGCAGTTTCTAAATTAAATTGTAAAACATTTTTTAGCTTTTTTCCAAAATTATTAATGTCTCAGATAAGAACAAAATTTATAAACAATAAATATAGAAATATATTACTTTATAAAATTTTAATGGGATTTACCTAAAAAAAAAATATATAACGTCATCAAATTGTGGGGGGGATGGGCAGTCAGAATATCGAACTTTTAAGTAGAAAATTATCAACTTGATAGTAATGATAATAACTTAATGAAAAACAATGTCAACAAATTAGTAAAAATTTACAACAATTTTGCATTGGATTTAAAATAAAAAATCCATTTAAGACGCTAAAATCGGAAGTTTTCTCTTGCGGAAACATCTATGGAAATTACTAGTTTTTCTAATTCCACCTACTTCTTATATTTTATAGTTTCCCAAATTACAATACTGGGAAAAGATAAAATCGTCACCCTTTGTAATTACGTGAATACAATTTAATAATAGTTAAATAAAAACACATTTAAAAAATAAATTAAATCAAAAATATAAACTACAAAAAAAAAACCATAAGAACAAAGAAATCGAAACCAGTCTTTTTTCCCAAACAACGTCCATCGTTATATTAATGACGTCAACAATATATTAAAGCATTATTTGATTACCTTAAAATTCTAATTACAGTGCAACAATTTAAATTAAACTTAAACAATACAACACAAAATTTTGATTCAAATTTTAACCGATTCGAAATAGGAATTGATAAAATCCGAAAACATCAAATTTTAAATCCAATAAAATAAATACAAACTTTACATTTTACATAATTGCCAATAATTCTGTTGACCTTTTGTATTTGGGTCATACTCAATCCCAAAGCCAACGTGATTTTATGTTGTTAATTGAAGCTACCTTCCATCCGATTTTTTTTTTGTACTTAGTCGTAAAAGCTCGTGTAACTCTATCCATTCTAAAAAAAATTCAAAGTCATTCTATAAACAGTCTTGTTTTACGTGGCCCGGCCACGAAGCAAAAATCGTGAGAAAACCAAGCCGATCGATAAAGTCGGTCATCAAACCCAATCCTCGGCGGAAAAATCAATATCATCCACACATTAAAAGTTCCGGGGATTATACTAATATGTATAAGGATATTTAAATTAATTTGGAGCGCGGGCTATACCGGCGGGCTCTTGACGCGCCGACGACAGTATAGACATATTGAGCCAGCAGCGCTCTCTCTGTACCTCGCTGAGCTGCCCACACCAAGCAACCCCCAGCTAGGGTGGAGAGAGTCGTACAGGCGCCGGCAAAAATATTTACATATCGCACTAATGTCAATCCCTCGTCTCCATCGTTAATTAATTAAAAATATCGGAGGTATGCGAGGCAACGGCACGCCATCATCACGCCGAAAAAAGATGGCGCGATTTTTTTAAATGGGAACCCACGCTAATTTCGAAAATTGTCGAAAAATTAGCCGGGTTTAGGTCGAAGGGGGTTCGATCTAGCACGAAACGCGAAAACGAGTGTACTTTTAGGTGAGCATAGCTGACCGAAGACTTGTAAAAACGCCGGTAAAGTGGATGAAATTACGCACTTTTGCGTGGTTAAAGTAATTAGCGAATGTGTGATTCAAGCTGAAACCAATTAAACTGATAAATTGGAATTTAATCCCATTATGCTGAAATATTTACGGAAAACAACAACGGGATTTGCAATAAATTCTACCCTCCATACGGAAATATAAAATATTGAGTACTTATCCCAGTAAAAACATCTTATTATCCGTCGTAAAACATCTATTGTCTAGTCGTACAACCGGACTACTCCAAAAACAACGACCGGTGTTGGTGTCGGTCGCCCCACACCCATAAACTAAAAATGGACTCACCCTTGGTCTACTGGAATGGGTCCGGGCATCTGCCTCGCCATCATCGCGTGTCCTGGTTCCATGGGCCCGGACATGGGGTGCCCCGGTCCGGGCCCGAAGGGCGACCCGGGCGGGATGCCGAATCCGGGGGCGAAGGGCTGTCCGGGCGAGGCGAAGTGCGGGTTGCCCCCCGGCCCGGGCCCCCCTACGAAGGGCGGCCCCGAGGAGCCGGGCCGGCCGAAAGGCGGGCCGCCGGCCGACGGCGAGCCGAAGGGCCCGGGCCCGGGGCCGTTGTAGGGCGGCCCCGCGCTGTTGGGGGGCGGCGGGAAGGCATTTCCGACGCTCTGCGGCGGGCCGGGGCCGGGCGTGGACGAGCCCGAGGGCGCCGGCGAGGCGGTGTACTGGGGGGTGGTGGAGCCGGGCGGGGGGCCTCCTTGGTATGGCGGCGCGCCGGCCGGCGATCCGGCCCCCGCCGGCGGGCCCTGGAAAGGCGATGGCCCCTGGAAGCCCGCCGGCGGCCCGGAGAACGAGTTTGCCGCGTTGGTTGCGAAGTTCTGCGGTTCCGAGCCGGGCGGCGGTCCCTTCCAGGTGGTGGCGGGGTCCTCCAGGGTGACTGGCAGCGTGATGGGGGGCGCTACGCGGCGGCTAAGGCCTGAAACAGCAGCCACTAGAACCGAGGTTGTACCACGAAGTGGCACTATCGGGAGCATAGACTACCGATAGCTGGTTTACAATAAATTAAAAACTATATATAAGGTTTCAAATCGAAGGTGACGGTTTCGCGTATTTTGCAATATATTTACAAAAATATTCGCAGCAACCCGGCACGAATTTAGTTTACGTACATTTTTAACGATCAATTAGTTTATAAAAGTCATGAAAAAGTTTAAAAGTATGTACTTAAATCTTAGGTAAAACACCTTCCACAATAACATAAAACGTGGTAATTGATATACCCTTCACATCTCTCATGATTTACAACTGTGGGTTTTGCTAACTAACTAATTTTCTTAAGTGTTTCTTTTTTATATGTTTCTTCTCGAAAACACCACCGGGCTTAATTTTAAACGACTATCGCTTAAAAATAAAATTTAAACCATGACCTAAAAAACGACCTTAACATCATAAAATATATCAACTCGTAAAATTTCGGTTTACTTTTTGGTTGATATTTTACATATGAATTCAAATAAGCATGAAGATGTTCTCAAGTTGTACAGTTGATTTTCATCATTTTTTTTTGTCGACTGATACCTACAAGGTGTTCAAAAAATGACGTAGCAACTCAACCATAAGTGATTAAATTCGCAAATCGAAGTTGGAAAAAAATCATTAAAAAAATTCTTTACGTCAATTTGACATTCACTTACAAAACTAAAACATCGAATCAGACAGAAACTTGAAAATTTAGCCACAATCTAGTACACAAATTACAATATGGTGAAATGTCGAAAAAAAAGTAAATTTGAAGGGCTGTATCATCTAAATTTGGACAAAAAAATGTTTTACATTATTTTTCTCTGCACCTGAACAACGTGCCCTAGAGTTGGTGCGTCATTTTTTGAACACCCTGTATACATGATTCAACTTTCCTTTTTGTTTTTCATTTTATTGATATGAGATTCACGTGTTTGTGATTTATAACTAACTAACTAAGGTAGGTATTTTTCATTATTGGGAGCTCGAAAACGGTGAGTGATAATTATTTCGGTTAAATTACGAAATGTTATGACTGATAGTTACTAAATTTTTTTTGTTTTCATATCTACTTCATGTGAAGATAAATTCCAAGGAACATTTTGATTGTTTCAATTTTTATCTTCTGTAGATAATGTATTGTTTTTATTAAAATAATAAATTTTAGTAAAATTTTAAATTGTGAAACTCTAAAAAAATCTTTGAAGTAAAAAAAAGTTGTATACAATGAATTTTTCTGCAAAATTTTGTAAGTTATCGCACATGTTTTAACGTTTTGTACACTTAATTTAAATTAAACAAATACATATTATTTCTTGTAAATATTTTATCTTTTTTTTTTCAAATTGCATTTTCTTGTTTATTTATTCCAGACTTAAAAATTTTAAAAATACGCTACATAAAATTTTGGAATACTTCACCATTGACGCATGCATATCAAAGCGCATTAAAAAAACATGTATCTATTTAATAATTTGTAAGATGACGTCACCAACTTTATGAAAAGAATGAATAAGTAGATTTTAGTTACTAATCTACAACTTACTGATTTAAAAAAAAACACCACGTGACGAACTAAACTGTAAAATTTGATAATACATGTCTTAGAACAACACATTTCATAACAATTGACATTTCAACGTAGAAATTCAAATTTACGTTGGCAAAAAGCGCGTTTACTGATCAAATTTACGTTCATTCAGTACATAAAAACATAACTGCCAAATATACAGACTTTCTCAATTCAAATTTAAACTCATTCATAACCTCAAAATGGGCAGACAGTTTCATAACTAAAATTGCTAAAGGTTGTTTTACATTGTTAGGGACAGTTTATAAGCATGGCCAACCGAGACGTCAAAAATTCTAACGTACTGCACTAAAATTTGAGAGGGTTAAAGCACAAGTAAAAAGGATCTATCTATCTAGTACATATTTAAAAGATATACTTTGCAAGTCTTCGAGATGACGTCATCGAAATAAGAAATAATGAAATTGAAAAAAAAAATTAAAAACAATGATAAAAAATATTTAAATAAATATTTTTAAAAATACGCTAATCCAATTACGCTGTGTTAAAACTGGAACGCAAACACTATACAAAAATTCGCACAATTTTATCAAGGAATCAATTCTGACGAAACAATAGCTTATAATCTACGGATTACCGGAGCATCCTTGCACACACTGGAAGATTTTCGCGTGATAATTATCCGGTACAAAATGTGGAGTTACACTGGTCATATTTTCAAAGCACACATAAATTTTTCGAAACGTCGCGACGCGAAGTAGGCTGTTTGCATTTTAATTTTGAGGTTAGTTTATCTTGTAAAAATTGCTGGCGAGCTAATTACATGTAAAAAAAAATTGACGTGTAAGTCGTTTCAAAAAACACAACAAAGTGATAAATTTTGGTTGGTATATAATTACAATCTTCAGGGTAAAATTTCAGAATCAGAATCGGATCAGACAAAGAGAAAAGGGAAACCCGCAATTGCGTAGCCTACGAATTATGAAACAAACAAACACGAAATTGGACATTTTAAAACTACTGAAATAGTGTAAATATTAGGAAACAAAAATGTAAAAATGGGTGTTATTTACATTCCCTTTAATACCGTCACATATTGTACTCACACTGGAAGATGTTCGCGTGATAATTATCCGGTACAAAATGTCGATTTACACTGGTCATATTTTCAAAGCACACATAAATTTGTCGAAACGTCGTGGCGCGAAGTAGGCTATTTGCATTTAATTTTGTGAGGTTAGTTTATCGTGTAAAACGGGTTAAAACTGCAAAAATTGCTCGCGAGCTAATTGCGTGTCAAACTTGACGGCCCAAAAGAAATTAAAACAATTCCGACGTGTTGGTTGTTTCAAAAAAAGCAACAAACTGATTTAAATGACGCCACTACCGGAATAGTCTGGGTGGTCGGAAACAAAAATGTAAAAATTTGAAATTAAAAAATCGTGTGATAATTATCTGGTTACACATATGGATGTCAGAACGTCGTGGCGCGAAGTAGGCTGTTTGCGTTTAATTTTGTGAGGTTAGTTTATCTTGTAAAACGGGTTAAAACGGGAAAAATTGGTCGCGAGATGATCGCGTGTGAAAGAAATTGAAACAATTTTGAGTTGTTTGAAAAAAAGTTTTAAATACGTTTTACCATGAAAGTGCGTCGCCGTAGCGTTAAAACGGGGAGCAGGGGCGGTTTCGGGCCCGGTGGTGGCCTCGAGTTGTTCGCGATTTTGGCAAAGCCGCAACGGCGTGCCCCGCCAGGGCGCTATTTCGGTCCGTCCGAGGCCCACCACGCCGGAGCCGGCCCTGTGTGTAGTCGAGTTTGGTCGTGGAATTTGTTTGATCGCCAGTTACACCCCCCTGATAGGTTATGTGTGCGGCGGGTTCTAACCTATGAAATAAGTAACGCCGTGCTATAAATAAATGAAAAGAAATTTACATCGTGCTTTCCGTTGGCCGGCGCGACCTTGTCTCATGCTGCCAGCGTCACAGGGTGTGAATTAGTGAAAATTTTCGCGATTTTGGAAGCCGCCTCGTTCATAGCTAGCACAGCCTTTTCCTAGCAAAGAATTTCAAGCCAAGCCGACACTCGCAAACTGCACACGGAGGTCAAGAACGGCACGTCGTGGGGCATCTCGCACTCGTTCACTCAATTTTCGCCGGTTTTCATTGAAAACACGCCGATCCCGAAACGCCGAACCTAAATACAACTTCTCAAGAAACACATCAAGTAAACACTGTTGAAGTCAAACCATGGCGCATGTTTGGCTGCCGCCATTGTTGATGGTGCAGGGAGCTGTATTGCCGGCCGGCGGGCGAGCCGGCGGAATTTGGGCGCAAGAGGCGGCGGTCGCGGCCCCCGGGTGCGGGCGAGTGCGTCGGCAGTTTGACGTTTGACAGATGGAGCGCGGTTCTAGGTTAGGAGCGTCGGCGGCACGCACCTTTGCTGGCCTTTTCTGGTCGGGGAGCAATGGCAGCAGCGTCAACTGAGCTTCTCCTTAGGCCGGGTGCGAAGAGGATCCTGCGGGTGGCCAGCGGGGGCTGCCATTCCTACAGCGTGGCGACGCGAGCCGCGGCCGAGGCGAGCACTGCCGACAGCGCTGGGCGACACCACATTCCTCCGGGTCCGGATTCGAAGACACTGCACGAACGGCACCAAGCGCGGGCAGACTGCGGCGGGCCGAGCTGAGGACGCGTCAGTTTTTTCGCATTTTTTTCGGTTGCGGGCCCATCGCGGACTCAGTCAACGGTGGTTGTCAGTGTCACCCTAAAAATCAATAAGTTCGCCGCCCCTAGCCCTTCCCCACCCTCTGCTCATTCAACAACATCACGACCGTCATTACTACACAGCGTCGGAACGAACGTCAACGCACCGTTGCCGCGGACTCTGGCTTGCCGTCACTCTGTCACTCGTGTCGCTGCCACGTCTGAAGTAAGTGGAGCAGCCGGTTGCCGGTAGCGGCTTATCATCGGCGAGCCATGAATGCTACTACTAGTACGGGTACGGGCTGCGGTGCCGCTCGCCGCCGCCGCCGCCGCGATCGCTGTCCTACACTCCTGCCCTCGCACGACCCATAAAAACCAGAAAAGTGCGGACGGCAACGATGATATGGATGCGAACAATGGAAAGGGGGGATGATGGACCTTTGCCTCTTGCACCGCGTTGCGTTGCGTTTCGTTTACTTGCCTGCCTTGCCTCCCCCGATTGACAGGCGTGCTTGCACGAGCCGGTAGAGACACCGACGCGATGCCGGGCTTCCGCAAGCCCGCGAACCCAAACTCTGCTGCTCCGAATTCGGTCGGCGCTTCGACTTTTACTCTAGATTTTATGGTAATTCAAGGGAACCCGCTGGGGCTTTTTGGGTCCTTTTTCGGACAACGGTTACGGACTCGAGCGGCAGCTGGTAACTCGGCGTCGAAGTTTCGCACTTCGTAACTCACACGTTATAACTCTTCGGTAACTCTCTAATTTGTTCCTTGAACTTTGAAAACGTTTAATTCGATAAAATGAAAATGAACTTATTTGCACATTTTAAAATCGTTAATGTCATCTGCCAAATCAATTATGACATTTGAACTGTCATGGATGCACATCTCAAAAGAGGCGGAACAAAAATCAGTGCCTACTTGGTAATTAAAATGCAAAGTTTTTTAACTCGTGTTCCAAAAAAATTGGAATCAAAAGTCCGTAAAACATTCGATGTGTAAAGTTGGTTTTGCTAAAAAAAAAAATCCAAAGTTGAAATTCAAAGTCGTGAAGTTGGTTTTTTAGTGTCGCAAATGTCAGTTTGACAATCAGGTTTGCTCTCATAAAATTTTAAATATGTTGCCAATCTGACCAAAAGTCACAAACATTCAGACAAAGGCGAAATTCAAATTTGTGAACATAGAATTTGCTATGATACAGTGAGTATTCCGAGTTGTAAAAGGTGAATTCAGAACTGTAAAGTGTGAATTCCGATCTATTAATAAAATTTCGAGTTAGGAAGTTCGGAAAAATTAACGATTATTCAAAATTCTAGTCTAACAACACAAAATTCATCATTACAATTCTGAGTATTCGACCAAATTTTTTTTCAAAAATTTTAAAGCTGAAAATTAACTTGAAATAATATGGACTTTTTCTTCGCTTGAATTTTACTTTGACAAGTTAGTGACAATCTACAATTATTGGAAGAAACATCAAGTGGCCCCCGCCAATTATCCAACTGAGACGGGGTGGGTGGGCGGGGCTTATATTTTGCCTTTGTTTCTTAATATACATAGTGTTCATTGAACAACATGTTTTTAATTTCTTGTAAAGAAATAACAAGCTCCGCCCCATAATTGCAAAATCCATATTTCCGTGCAAAAATGTATCATTTTAACCATGTTTTAATTTTGTTGTTGTGAAAACATGGCTATGTATATTAAGAAAAAAAAAAGCAAAATATAAGCCCCGCCCACCCACCCTGTCTCAATTCTGACGATTTTTTTTTATTCGTCGTAAGCCGAGAGGTGGAGCTTAATTGTAAAATCCTTATTTTTCTACGAGAATTTACCACCCATATCCATCCCAAGCTCAATTGTGATGAATTTTTCATTCGTTGTCAGACCGAAGGGCGGAGCGTAATTTTTAAATACAAATACATATACAATTTTAAACATGTTATAAGTTTCTTGTTGTGAAAAGATGAATAAATATTCAAATATTTTTTTTGAAAATTGAATTTTATTTTGTCAAATGTCGAATTTAACATTAAAAAAACTCCAAATTTTTTTTTGATCAGTCATTTTATTGGAAGACGACTTGTTTTTGTACTGATAATTAATTAGTGGAATATAAACAGAAAAGGTAAAACTAATCCCTCCCACTCCACTTTTAAATTTTATTGGCTTATTTTATTTACTGTGAGATGAAGATTGATTTTTATTTTGTCAAGTGTTCGAATCTACGATTAAACGAAACTTCAAACTGGCCCCGCCCACCCACCCGGTTTTCATCTCGTTCGCTCATTTTATTGGTCGAAACGTGAATTTTATATTGCTAAGTAATGAAATTCAAAGAAAAGAAGTAAAACTAATCCCACGTTTGTATTTCATTGGCTTATTTTATTTAGTGTGAGATGAATATTGAATTTTACTGTGACAAGTATCCGAATCTACAATTATTCAACAAACTTCAAAGTGTTTTTATAACTGAAACTGTGAAAATTCAAAACTGTATTTTCTTATTTAGAAAATCAAAATTCTCTAGTTTTTTTCTAAAACATAATAACCAGTCTGTGAAGTGGGTATTCAGAATTGTAATGGCGAAATTCAAATTTGTGAACATAGAATTTCCTCTGGTAAAGTGAGAATTCCGAGTTGGAAAATGTGAATTCCGGTCTATTTAGATGGAATTTGGAATAAAAACTTAAAATTTCGACTTAAAGGTCGGAAAAATTAATTAACGATTATTCACAATTTTAGTGTAATAATAATAAAACAAAATCCCATTTGGAAATACAAATTGTAATTCTGACTAGCCAACCAAATTTTTTTTTAGTTTTAAAGTAAAAAATTCAACTTGAAACATCAATATTTTTTCTACTTTTTAACCTAGAATCTGGCTTTATAATTAAAAATGTCAAAGTCAAAATTAATTTTCTTATTTATAAAATTCTCTAGCTTTTTTTTCTAAAATATTATAACCAGTCTGTGAAGTGGGTATTCAGAATTGTAAAGGCGAAATTCCAAATTTTAAACGCCGAATTTCTCTTGGTAAAGTGACAATTCTGAACTGTATAATCTGATATACTGTAATATTATTTCACTGGATATTAGAACAGGTTTGCGAGGTCGGTATTCAGAGCTGTAAAAGCCAAATTCAAATTTGCGAACATATAATTTCCTGTGGTAAAGTGTAAAATGTGAATTCAGAGTTGTAAATTGGAAATTCCGATCTATTAATGAAATTTGGAATAATTAATTAAAATTTCGTGTCAGAAAGTTCGCAAAAATTAACTGTTGCTGAGAATTCTAGTGTAATAACACAATTCCATCGTTACAATTTGGAAATTATTCAAATTTTGACTATTTAACCCGATTCTTTTTTTTAATTTCGAAACTGATAATTTAACTTCAAGTATGGATTTTTTCTTCTTTATAAAATTGAAATTCTCTAGTTTTCTTCTTATCACTGTTTAATCTTTCTTTTATCGTCTTTTAAAACATTATAACCAGTCTATGAAGTCGATATTCACAATTGAAAAGGCGAAATTCCAAATTGTAAATGTCGAATTTCCAGGGATTATTGTAAAATCTAAATTCAGAATTATGAAGTGGAAATTAGTATTTATATTTTAGTAATTCGAATAAAAAGTTAAAATTCCGAATTAGCCGATCTGGACAAAATAAGTTCTAGTCTTGAACGGATACTGTAATATTATTTCACTCGGTATCAGATCAGAGGTCTGTGAAGTCGGTATTCAAAGCTGTAAAGGCGAAATTCAACTTTGCGAACATTGAATTTCCTGTGGTAAAGTGAGAATTCCAAGTTGTAAAAGGTGAATTCAGAGTTGTAAAGTGTGAATTCTGGTCTGTTAATGAAATTTGGAATAATACATAAAAATTTTGAGTTAGGAAGTTCCGAAAAATTAACGATTATTCAAAATTCTAGTGTAACGACACAAAATTCCATCATTACAATTCGGAAATGATTCCATTTCTGTCTATTCAACCAGATTTTTTTTCAAAATTTTAAAGCAGAAAATTTAGCTTGAAATAATATGGACTTTTTCTTCGCTGTAACTGGGAATCTGATTTTAGAACTGAGAATGTGAAAATTCAAAACTGTATTTTCTTATTTATGAAATCAAAATTCTCTAGTATTTTTCTAAAACATTATAACCAGTTTGTAAGTGGGTATTCAGAATTGTAAAGGCGAAATTCCAAATTTTAAACGCCGAATTCCCTTGGTAAAGTGAGGATTCTGAATTGTATAATCTGAATTCAACATGATAAATGTATAATTTAGTAATTCGAATAAACAGTTAAAATTCCGAGTTAGCCGGTCTGGAAAAAAATAAATTCGAGTTTTGAACGGACAGTTCTCTAGATATTAGAACAGGTCTGGTCTGTGAGGTCGGTATTCAGAGCTGTAAAGGCGAAATTCAAATTTGCGAACATTGAATTTCCTGTGGTATAGTGACAATTCCATGTTGTAAAAGGTGAATTCAGAGTTTTAAAGTATGAATTCTGGTCTATTAATGAAATTTGGAATAATACATTAAAATTTTGAGTTAGGAAGTTCCGAAAAATTAACGATTATTCAAAATTCTAGTGTAACGACACAAAATTCCATCATTACAAT